ATAGATAAAATAATTAGAACATAAACAAAACCAATAATTAGAACATATAATAAGAAAAAAGTACAACATAATAAGATACCAAATTACCAATTGAATGCTTTTGAAGCTTGTTACTCCGGTCGTTGTCATTTCTTGCTGCATTCTATCAAACAAAGCCTTCATTCTATCATCTTGCCTTTCATTTGATTTGAAGTATTTTTCTGTACAACATATGAGCTGAAAAAGAAAAAGAAATTAAACATAAGTAATTAGAACATAGGTGCATAGTATAATCTATATGAGAAACAAAAAGAATCTACTCTTAGAACATAGTTATAATTTTAAGTTCGAAAACATACATAGCATTCAGTACTGAAAAAGAATCTACTCTTCTTGTCTACACCACGTCTTTTATTTTCAAAATTCAATAGGCAAACATAAGCATCCACAACATTGTTCAACATGTGCTTATCTTCTATGAGACTATGAATCTCATCTCTCGTAATCGTTGTCCCCATGTTATCAGCATACAAAAGCTCCCTAAAATCAGAACAATAAAATCAGAACATAAGCATGTAGTTTAGAACATAAACACATAATTTAAAACATAAGAATATAGTTAGAACATAAGTACCTATTTTAGAACATAAGCATATAGTTTTACACATGTACTTTATAACATAATCTCGTAGCTTAGAACACGCAGTTTAGAACATAAGAATGAAGTTTAGAACATAATTTATAGCTTAGATCATATCATATAGCTTAGTATAGCTTAGAACATAAGCATATAATTTTAAAGTTTTAAAGTCTTACTTATTATCTCCTTGAGCAAACGCATACTCAGCTACCTTTCTATTGTCCACATTCTTGAAAAGTTTTTCATGTTCAACCATGAAAGGTGAACGCAAGTACATTGGAAGCTTATCCTTTCCTCTTTTTTCCGTGTCTTTTTCTTCTCCTTGTTTCCTACTTAATTCAATTAAAAAATATCACATAGATAACAATAACTAAATCCAAAATTTATTGATAACAAAAACCATAACCAAATCAAACCAAAATTTATTATTACCAAGTTCTAAATTAAAATTTAACTAAACCATAACCAACATTTGTTTTAAAGTTTACAAAATGATTACCCTTTCTTGTTCTCATTTTTTTTCTTCTTTGTTCTTCTCTTCATTCTTGCTTCCTTCATTTTCTTTCTTCTCCTCTTGATTCTCCTCTTTTTCCTCCTTTTTCTTCTTCCCCTTTTCTTCTCTCTTCTCCTCTTGGATCTCCTCTTTTTCCTCCTTTTTCTTCTTCCCTTTTCTTCTCTCTTCTCCTCTTGGATCTCCTTTTTTTCCTCCTCTTTCTTCTTCCCCTTTTCTTCTTTCTTCTCCTCTTGCTTCTCTTCTTTTTCCTCTTCTTTCTTCTTCTCCTTTTCTTCTTTCTTCTCCTCTTTTTCCTCTTCTTTCTTCTCCTCTTTTTCCTCTTCTTGCTTCTCCTCTTCATCCAATGTAGGTGGATGATCTGGATTTAGAAAAGCACAATTTAGAACATTTGCTGTCACTTCTTCGTAAGTGAGTTCTGCTTCATTATCTTCTTGATTTTCTGGGACATCAAACCATAAGTAGAAACAATAAGGACACAACATAGAAATAGTTGGAAAAAATTTAGAACATTAGAAATAACTAGAATATAACCAGAAAAATTTAGAACACAAGAAGTAACTTTAGAACATAACTAATTTACAACATAATTATATTATTTAGAACATATGCACATAATTTAGAACATAATCATACAATTTAGAACATATGCACATAATTTAGAGCATAACTAATTTCAAACATAATCATATTATTTAGAAAATATGCACATAATTTAGAGCATAACTAATTTAGAACATAATCATATTATTTAGAACATATGCACATAATTTAGAACATAATCATATTATTAGAGCATATGCACATAATTTAGCACATAATCATATAATTTAGAGCATATGCACATAATTTAGAACATAAGAAAGTAGTTTAAAACATAAGCATCTGATTTAGAAAAAATTTAGAACATCAGAAATAACTTTAGAACATAACAGAAAAAATTTATAACATAAGAAGTAATTTTTAAAAAAATCTAGTAATATTATTTCAAAAGAAAAAAGTTTGAAAATAATGTAAAACTACCAACTGCTGGTGAGGGGGTCAATAACTTGAAACTTGGAGGAGTTATATCAAAAGGTTGCTTCTTTTTTGGAGGAATTGGGGTTTTTGGTGACTCCTCATTCCTTTTCTCTTTCTTCTCAATTTTTTCCTCCTCGTTTCTCTCTTTTCTGTACAGCTCTTTTTCTTCTTCTTTTGATCCCAAATCTTCATAGCAATTACACCATAAAAATTAAGTATTATAGCAAATAGCAAAAAATAATTAGAAAATAAAAAGTAACTTTAGAACATAAGAAATATATACAATTAGGAGACAACCTAGAAATAGTTAGAATATAAAAAATTAAGAATTAACTTTAAAGCATAACCAGAAAAAATTTAGAGCATAAGAAGTAATATTAGAACATATCTAGTAAATATTAGTACATAAAAAATGAATTTGAAAATAATGTGAAATTACCAACTACTGGTGAGGGAATCAACAAGTTTTTCTTTATTCTCTTCATTTCTCTCTTCTTTGTTCTTATCTTTTTCCTCTTCCTTTGATCTCAAATCTGCTTAACAATTAGAACATAACTAATTTAGTACATAACTAATTTAGAACATAACTAATTTAGAACATAATCATATAATTTAGAACATAAGCATGTGATTTAAGCGCATGTTTTAGAACATAAAAAAGTACTTTAAAACATAAGCATCTAATATAGAACATAAGTATAATTTGGAAATTAAGCATGTACATGTGAAATTACCAACTGTCGGTGACTTTGGTGACCTTGTTTCCTCGAATTTCTTCCATGCCTTATCCATAACCATATCCAATTCTTCAATAAATGCCGGTTCATCGAAGACATGTTGATCTTGGCTGAGTATAGAAGGGCTTTTTTTTCTTCTTGGTTCACGAATGTCTATAAAATAAGAAATTATAATTTAGAACATAATATGCATAATATTTATATAAATTTATTATACTTTAGAACATAAGCTGAAAATACTTTAGAACACAACCAGAAAATACTTTAGAACATAATTATAATACCTTTGTTGTGTACTTGCACCATATGTTGTCTATGAGATGTTGCATTTTTCCTGTTGTTTCTTCCTCAACAAAAAGATCTTTTGCTTGTTCTAACATGCCATACATCTCTTTAACATTCGAGGCAAGTGTTTTTGCCAAATCTCCAAATTTGCTCAAAAAGCCCTTCATTAGAACACAAAAATATTTTAGAACATAAAGGACATAACATGGATAATTTAACAGAAAAGGATTAAATGGAGCATAAAATATAATTTACAATATAAACTAAATCATACCATCATGTCATTTCGAGAAGTTGTAGAACTAGAACCTATTGATGATTTTTCCATTCTCTTCTCTTTTTCCTTTTGTTTTGGTTGTTTCTTTTTTCCTTTTGGTGCCTTCTAGTATATAAATTATAAAATTTAGAAAACAACAACATAAAGTGTAGTGTTTAAACATAAACATATACAAATATCATACCACAATTGATTCCATTCTTTCCAAGAGTTTTCCATATCCAAATCCATGATCTTTTTCAAACTTATATCTCACTTGAATCCTTTCCTTTGTCCACACCGAAATTAGTGGACATTTTCTTGTTTTTTCTAACCCTCCTCTTTGTAGACGATCAAAATAGAATACCTATTTAGTACATGTTAAGAATTAATTAGAATATTTTTCACACATTTTCAACATAACAAGAATAATATATATACATAATGGTAAGAATTTAAAACTTACCATTAGAAAAGGTAAAGGACCTGTAAAGTAAGAATTTCCCTTCTTCCATACACTTACAGAATCTTTCAAGTGCTCAATCACAAATGTGCACCAATCCAATTCAGCAATTTTCTTTACATCCATACAACTATACAAGAATTTAATGTATAGTTGTGGGTTGTTTGTTGATCGAATGCAACAATTGACAACACATACCACAAAGTTCCAAAGAAATTCATCAGAAACTGATTTTTCCTTCTTCAATTCTTGAATTCTGTCAATCAATCTCTTGTTGGTTGGACTTCCCTTTTAGAGGTAAAAAAAACATATAAATTAAAACCTATGGAGATAATAGATCTATTTTAAAGCAAAAAACACTTTAGAACATAAGCAAAGCACTTTAAAACATACAATTTATAACATAAAATTCATACTTTAGAACATAAAATTTAAAACATAACCACATTATATCATCATACTTTTTTGAGGCCAAACTTGCTTCTCCAAGCTTTTAGAAACTTGCTCCATTTCAGATTTGACTCATTATTTGGTTGCTCAATCCTTTTGCCTCCCAATGGCAACCCATAAGCCAAATGAACATCAATTTCCTCCAAAAAGATTTCTGTTTTTCTCTTTGGTAACATCAAACAACATCTCTCCGTGTCAAAATTCGTAACCAAGTTTTCTGTCAACCTAGAATTATAATGAAAAATGTAAGATTTAAAGCACAATACAGCTATATTTAGAATATAATAGTCAATCTTTAGAACATAGAAGATTAAAACATTTAGTATAATATTTAAACTTTTGAACATAATTTAGAACATTATATAATAAAAAAAGTCTATTTTAGAACATAATAAACATACATTAGAACATAACAAAAAATTTAGAACATTAGTGTATAGCAATTCAAACATGAGAGTTCATAATTTTAGAATACAAGAAGTAACTTTAAAACATAAGTAATTTACACATAATCATATTATTTAGAACATATGCACATAATGTAGAACATAATCATACAATTTAGAACATATGCACATAATTTAGAACATAGCTAATTTCGAACATAATCATATTATTTAGAACATATGCACAAAATTTAGAGCATAACTAATTTAGAACATAATCTTATAATTTAGAACATTAGTGTATAGCAATTCAAACATGACAAATCATAATTTTGAACATAACATTGATAATACTTATGATTTAGAAATATGATTTTAGAACATAACATTCTACTACTTACGTAGAATTAATATGGATTGGTAAATCCAATTCCAAAAAGCCTCCAAAACCAATGTTCCGAATAGCTTGCTTTTGTTTTTCCGAAAGATTTATCAACACATCCTTCATGAATTGAGTAGGAGGTACTCTTTGATAAGGTTGCCTCTTAACTAGTTTATCTTGCTCATTAGCTTACTACTTTGGACATCCTCACCATCTTCTTCTTTTTCAATCTTTCTTTTCTTCTTCTTCACATCCTCACCATGAATAGATAAACATAATTAGAACATAGATAAGCAAAATTAGAACATAAGCGTGCACTTTAGAACATAAAAATAAAGATTGTAAAGATTAAAGAGTATTATTACCTGAGTTTGATTTTTTTTATTGATTTTTTGTTCCTCCTCACTATCATCTTCCATCTCCTCTTTTTCATCTTTCTCTTTCATCTTTACATCACCCTTATTATCATCCTCACCATCATCTTTACTATCATTATTCTTGTCATCATCCTCAACATTATTACCCTCTTCTTCTTTTTGATCTTTTCCTTCTTCTTGATCTTTTTCTCTTCCTTCCTTTTTTTGCAATTTTCGAGGTGGTTGAAGCCTTGTTGGAAGTTTTCTATGTCTTATAGCAACACTTTTACTTTCAATATGCTTCTCAAATTCCGATCTATCAATTACTTCCGCTTCAACGTTTTCAACTTTCCTTTAAAAACAATTAAAAATAATTAGAATACAACTAACATTAAATAGAGTGCAAATATAAAGGGATAAGATGAACATAAACTATAATGGATACATATTAGAACATAATACAAATCTTCAGAACATAAGAGAAAATTTTAGAACATAATGGAAAACTTTAGAACATAATGGAAAACTTTAGAACATAATACAAATCTTTAGAACTTAAGGGAAAACTTTAGAACATATTGGAAAACTTTAGAACATATATATATAGGGGAGGGATCCGGTAAGAACCCCTCCTTATGTAAGAACCCTAGTTATATAAGAACCAATCTCATCCGTAGGATTAGATTAGGATGAGCGGTCAAGATTAAAACAAAAAAAAAATCCCCCAAAACCCTCCCTAAACGTTCATACTTTTCTCTCTCCTCAAACTTTCAATCCTCTTTACTTTCTCTCTCCTCAAATCTCAAAATCTAGCCCAAATTGCTGCAAAACAACCTAAATTGCTCAAATCAGGTACTTTTTCTTTGATTATGTTCTAATTTTATGAATTTCACATGATATTCAATTCGATTTTGTGATTTCAATCGCATGATGTTTGCAAACTGGCGATTTTGATTTTTGCGATTTGATTTTCATGAATTTTGCATGAGTTAAAGCCGATTTTGTATGTTTTTCTTTTCGATTTTGTTTAAATTTCTATGAAATTAGCATGATGTTCAAGTGGATTTTGTTTTTACATTCGATATATTTTTGAGTAAGTTTGAGGATAGGTTTTTTTGGATAAATGGCTAGTCATTTTTATTTATTTATTTATTTGCATCTTTTTTTATGAAAAAATTCATATTATACTGAACGCCCATGACACAACCCAGAGGCCTCGAATTACCAGCACATATTATTATTTTTGAGTAAGTTAGATAGCTTTAGTGTTCGAATTTAGGGTTCAATTTTAGTTCGATTTTTGTTCGATTATTTTGTTTGATTTTTGCTCGATTTTAGTTCGAATTTTGCTTGATTTTAGTTCGATTTTGCTAATATTTTGAATTATTCAATGGGAAAATGTACCGAAGAAAATTCAATAATAGAGCATCTAGAACAGAGACAACATAAAATCAGTTATCCCGACCCATCGCTGTCAATTCGTTCATAATACGATGTGACATTACAATCAAAGAGGAATCATAAAAAAGGCGTAAAATTAGAATGTTGTCAAAATGACTTTGATCGATATGCTTGATCGCAGTGACATTGCTTGATTTTATGAGGCTGGTGGTTAATTTCTTTGAGGTTTTGTTATAAATTTAAACCAAGACTGAGGCATGTTAATTAGCTTTTCATTAGTAAACTCAGCTAACAGCATATGGTACTCGACTTCTTCCCCATGCTAGACCTTTGCAAGGTTTGACTCCATCAGCAGCAACATGACAATTGGCTTTGGTGAGGATTTATTTCTTTGGTGACTCAGATTCCTTTGTGTTCTCCAGGCCTTTTATGGTCTTATACTTGAGTTTCTCTAGTTCATTGGGTCTTCATTCTACAATCAGCTTGCAACCCTTTCGTTGCACTCCAAAGTGATGAATGCTGCCTGTGTGATTGTGAATTATGTTGACATTTTTGTTCTGCGGTGATGTATTATAGAATCAGCAATTCAGCATATTGGGAACTATGCATTGTATTTCGGATCCTTTTGCATGGAGTTCACTTATATATCGACTGTGCATTTTAATGGATCCTTTAGAACATAGGGGTTGTTAATTGGTTAGGGGTTGTTAGTAGTGAACTTGTGATTGCAGGGCTGAAAACAAACTTTAGAACATAGGTAGAAAAAATTTGGAACATAAGAAAAGAACATAGGTTGAAATAATTTAGAACATGGGCTGAAAATAAACTCAATCAAACCTTATCATGTTTCTGTTTCATTGTCTTTTAAATTTCTAGTTTACTCATTCTATTTTGGGTTTTTCACTCTCTAGCATGTTCTAAACTATTTTTCAGCATATTCTAAATTATTCCTATGTTCAAAAATATAATAATAATGTTGGAATGTTACTAATGTTTTTGATTTCTTTAATGTTGCAGTAAAATGCAAGGCCAAAATGAAGAAAAATCAGAAGAAGGAGTTACTAATATACAAGAAGAAGAAATTACTTATGTAAGAAAAAGGTAACTAAACTAATGTTCTAAACTTTACCTATTATGTTTTTTTGTTCTAAAGTTTTCCAATATGTTCTAAAGTTTTCCCTTAAGTTCTAAAGATTTGTATTATGTTCTAAAGTTTTCCATTATGTTCTAAAGTTTTCCATTATGTTCTAAAATTTTCTCTTATGTTCTGAAGATTTGTATTATGTTCTAATGTATCCATTATAGTTTATGTTCATCTTATCCCTTTATATTTGCACTCTATTTAATGTTAGTTGTATTCTAATTATTTTTAATTGTTTTTAAAGGAAAGTTGAAAACGTTGAAGCGGAAGTAATTGATAGATCGGAATTTGAGAAGCATATTGAAAGTAAAAGTGTTGCTATAAGACATAGAAAACTTCCAACAAGGCTTCAACCACCTCGAAAATTGCAAAAAAAGGAAGGAAGAGAAAAAGATCAAGAAGAAGGAAAAGATCAAAAAGAAGAAGAGGGTAATAATGTTGAGGATGATGACAAGAATAATGATAGTAAAGATGATGGTGAGGATGATAATAAGGGTGATGTAAAGATGAAAGAGAAAGATGAAAAAGAGGAGATGGAAGATGATAGTGAGGAGGAACAAAAAATCAATAAAAAAAATCAAACTCAGGTAATAATACTCTTTAATCTTTACAATCTTTATTTTTATGTTCTAAAGCACGCTTATGTTAATTTTGCTTATCTATGTTCTAATTATGTTTATCTATTCATGGTGAGGATGTGAAGAAGAAGAAAAGAAAGATTGAAAAAGAAGAAGATGGTGAGGATGTCCAAGTAGTAGAAGCTAATGAGCAAGATAAACTAGTTAAGAGGCAACCTTATCAAAGAGTACTCCTACTCAATTCATGAAGGATGTGTTGATAAATCTTTCGGAAAAACAAAAGCAAGCTATTCGGAACATTGGTTTTGGAGGCTTTTTGGAATTGGATTTACCAATCCATATTAATTCTACGTAAGTAGTAGAATGTTATGTTCTAAAATCATATTCTAAAATCATAAGTATTATCAATGTTATGTTCAAAATTATGATTGTCATGTTTGAATTGCTATAACACTAATGTTCTAAATATAAGATTATGTTCTAAATTAGTTATGCTCTAAATTTTGTGCATATGTTCTAAATAATAATGATTATGTTCGAAATTAGCTATGTTCTAAATTATGTGCATATGTTCTAAATTGTATGATTATGTTCTACATTATGTGCATATGTTCTAAATAATATGATTATGTTGTAAATTACTTATGTTTTAAAGTTACTTCTTGTATTCTAAAATTATGAACTCTCATGTTTGAATTGCTATACACTAATGTTCTAAATTAATTTTTTGTTATGTTCTAATGTATGTTTATTATGTTCTAAAATAGACTTTTTTTATTATATAATGTTCTAAATTATGTTCAAAAGTTTAAATATTATACTAAATGTTTTAATCTTCTATGTTCTAAAGATTGACTATTATATTCTAAATATAGCTGTATTGTGCTTTAAATCTTACATTTTTCATTATAATTCTAGGTTGACAGAAAACTTGGTTACGAATTTTGACACGGAGAGATGTTGTTTGATGTTACCAAAGAGAAAACAAGAAATCTTTTTGGAGGCAATTGATGTTCATTTGGCTTATGGGTTGCCATTGGGAGGCAAAAGGATTGAGCAACCAAATGATGAGTCAAATCTGAAATGGAGCAAGTTTCTAAAAGCTTGGAGAAGCAAGTTTGGCCTCAAAAAAGTATGATGATATAATGTGGTTATGTTTTAAATTTTATGTTCTAAAGTATGAATTTTATGTTAAAATTGTATGTTTTAAAGTGCTTTGCTTATGTTCTAAAGTGTTTTTTGCTTTAAAATAGATCTATTATCTCCATAGGTTTTAATTTATATGTTTTTTTTACCTCTAAAAGGGAAGTCCAACCAACAAGAGATTGATTGACAGAATTCAAGAATTGAAGAAGGAAAAATCAGTTTCTGATGAATTTCTTTGGAACTTTGTGGTATGTGTTGTCAATTGTTGCATTCGATCAACAAACAACCCACAACTATACATTAAATTCTTGTATAGTTGTATGGATGTAAAGAAAATTGCTGAATTGGATTGGTGCACATTTGTGATTGAGCACTTGAAAGATTCTGTAAGTGTATGGAAGAAGGGAAATTCTTACTTTACAGGTCCTTTACCTTTTCTAATGGTAAGTTTTAAATTCTTACCATTATGTATATATATTATTCTTGTTATGTTGAAAATGTGTGAAAAATATTCTAATTAATTCTTAACATGTACTAAATAGGTATTCTATTTTGATCGTCTACAAAGAGGAGGGTTAGAAAAACCAAGAAAATGTCCACTAATTTCGGTGTGGACAAAGGAAAGGATTCAAGTGAGATATAAGTTTGAAAAAGATCATGGATTTGGATATGGAAAACTCTTGGAAAGAATGGAATCAATTGTGGTATGATATTTGTATATGTTTATGTTTAAACACTACACTTTATGTTGTTGTTTTCTAAATTTTATAATTTATATACTAGAAGGCACCAAAAGGAAAAAAGAAACAACCAAAACAAAAGGAAAAAGAGAAGAGAATGGAAAAATCATCAATAGGTTCTAGTTCTACAACTTCTCGAAATGACATGATGGTATGATTTAGTTTATATTGTAAATTATATTTTATGCTCCATTTAATCCTTTTCTGTTAAATTATCCATGTTATGTCCTTTATGTTCTAAAATATTTTTGTGTTCTAATGAAGGGCTTTTTGAGCAAATTTGGAGATTTGGCAAAAACACTTGCCTCGAATGTTAAAGAGATGTATGGCATGTTAGAACAAGCAAAAGATCTTTTTGTTGAGGAAGAAACAACAGGAAAAATGCAACATCTCATAGACAACATATGGTGCAAGTACACAACAAAGGTATTATAATTATGTTCTAAAGTATTTTCTGGTTGTGTTCTAAAGTATTTTCAGCTTATGTTCTAAAGTATAATAAATTTATATAAATATTATGCATATTATGTTCTAAATTATAATTTCTTATTTTATAGACATTCGTGAACCAAGAAGAAAGAAAAGCCCTTCTATACTCAGCCAAGATCAACATGTCTTCGATGAACCGGCATTTATTGAAGAATTGGATATGGTTATGGATAAGGCATGGAAGAAATTCGAGGAAACAAGGTCACCAAAGTCACCGACAGTTGGTAATTTCACATGTACATGCTTAATTTCCAAATTATACTTATGTTCTATATTAGATGCTTATGTTTTAAAGTACTTTTTTATGTCTAAAACATGCGCTTAAATCACATGCTTATGTTCTAAATATATTATGTTCTAAATTAGTTATGTTCTAAATTAGTTATGTACTAAATTAGTTATGTTCTAATTGTTAAGCAGATTTGAGATCAAAGGAAGAGGAAAAAGATAAGAACAAAGAAGAGAGAAATGAAGAGAATAAAGACAAAAACTTGTTGATTCCCTCACCAGTAGTTGGTAATTTCACATTATTTTCAAATTCATTTTTTATGTACTAATATTTACTAGATATGTTCTAATATTACTTCTTATGCTCTAAATTTTTTCTGGTTATGCTTAAAGTTAATTCTTAATTTTTTATATTCTAACTATTTCTAGGTTGTCTCCTAATTGTATATATTTCTTATGTTCTAAAGTTACTTTTTATTTTCTAATTATTTTTTGCTATTTGCTATAATACTTAATTTTTATGGTGTAATTGCTATGAAGATTTGGGATCAAAAGAAGAAGAAAAAGAGCAGTACAGAAAAGAGAGAAACGAGGAGGAAAAAATTGAGAAGAAAGAGAAAAGGAATGAGGAGTCACCAAAAACCCCAATTCCTCCAAAAAAGAAGCAACCTTTTGATATAACTCCTCCAAGTTTCAAGTTATTGACCCCCTCACCAGCAGTTGGTAGTTTTACATTATTTTCAAACTTTTTTCTTTTGAAATAATATTACTAGATTTGTTTTAAAATTACTTCTTATGTTATAAATTTTTTCTGTTATGTTCTAAAGTTATTTCTGATGTTCTAAATTTTTTCTAAATCAGATGCTTATGTTTTAAACTACTTTCTTAAATTATGCATATGCTCTAAATTATATGATTATGTGCTAAATTATGTGCATATGCTCTAATAATATGATTATGTTCTAAATTATGTGCATATGTTCTAAATAATATGATTATGTTCTAAATTAGTTATGCTCTAAATTATGTGCATATTTTCTAAATAATATGATTATGTTTGAAATTAGTTATGCTCTAAATTATGTGCATATAAATTGTATGATTATGTTCTAAATTATGTGCATATGTTCTAAATAATATAATTATGTTGTAAATTAGTTATGTTCTAAAGTTACTTCTTGTGTTCTAAATTTTTCTGGTTATATTCTAGTTATTTCTAATGTTCTAAATTTTTTCCAACTATTTCTATGTTGTGTCCTTATTGTTTCTACTTATGGTTTGATGTCCCAGAAAATCAAGAAGATAATGAAGCAGAACTCACTTACGAAGAAGTGACAGCAAATGTTCTAAATTGTGCTTTTCTAAATCCAGATCATCCACCTACATTGGATGAAGAGGAGAAGCAAGAAGAGGAAAAAGAGGAGAAGAAAGAAGAGGAAAAAGAGGAGAAGAAAGAAGAAAAGGAGAAGAAGAAAGAAGAGGAAAGAAGAGAAGCAAGAGGAAAAAAAGAAGAAAAGGGGAAGAAGAAAGAGGAGGAAAAAAAGGAGATCCAAGAGGAGAAGAGAGAAGAAAAGGGGAAGAAGAAAAAGGAGGAAAAAGAGGAGATCCAAGAGGAGAAGAGAGAAGAAAAGGGGAAGAAGAAAAAGGAGAAAAAGAGGAGAATCAAGAGGAGAAGAAAGAAAATGAAGGAAGCAAGAATGAAGAGAAGAACAAAGAAAGAAAAAAATGAGAACAAGAAAGGGTAATCATTTTAAACTTTAAAACAAATGTTGGTTATGGTTTAGTTAAATTTTAATTTAGAACTTGGTAATAATAAATTTTGGTTTGATTTGGTTATGGTTTTTGTTATCAATAAATTTTGGTTTGATTTAGTTATGGTTTTTGTTATCTATGTGATATTTTTTAATTGAATTAAGTAGGAAACAAGGAGAAGGAAAAGACACGGAAAAAAGAGGAAAGGATAAGCTTCCAATGTACTTGCGTTCACCTTTCATGGTTGAACATGAAAAACTTTTCAAGAATGTGGACAATAGAAAGGTAGCTGAGTATGCGTTTGCTCAAGGAGATAATAAGTAAGACTTTAAAACTTTAAAATTATATGCTTATGTTCTAAGCTATATGCTTATGTTCTAAGCTATATGCTTATGATCTAAGCTATAAATTATGTTCTAAACTTCATTCTTATGTTCTAAACTGCGTGTTCTAAGCTACGAGATTATGTTATAAAGTACATGTGTAAAACTATATGCTTATGTTCTAAAATAGGTACTTATGTTCTAAACTATATTCTTATGTTTTAAATTATGTGTTTATGTTCTAAACTACATGCTTATGTTCTGATTTTATTGTTCTGATTTTAGGGAGCTTTTGTATGCTGATAACATGGGGACAACGATTACGAGAGATGAGATTCATAGTCTCATAGAAGATAAGCACATGTTGAACAATGTTGTGGATGCTTATGTTTGCCTATTGAATTTTGAAAAAAAAGACGTGGTGTAGACAAGAAGAGTAGATTCTTTTTCAGTACTGAATGCTATGTATGTTTTCGAACTTAAAATTATAACTATGTTCTAAGAGTAGATTCTTTTTGTTTCTCATATAGATTATACTATGCACCTATGTTCTAATTACTTATGTTTTAATTTCTTTTTCTTTTTCAGCTCATATGTTGTACAGAAAAATACTTCAAATCAAATGAAAGGCAAGATGATAGAATGAAGGCTTTGTTTGATAGAATGCAACAAGAAATGACAACGACCGAGTAACAAGCTTCAAAAGCATTCAATTGGTAATTTGGTATCTTATTATGTTGTACTTTTTTCTTATTATATGTTCTAATTATTGGTTTTGTTTATGTTCTAATTATTTTTATCTATGTTTTAAAGTATCTACTTATGTTCTAAACTACTTATTTATCTTCTAAACTTACTTATGTTCTAAAACATGTTATAAAAATTATATGCTTGTGTTCTAATCTATATGCTTATGTTCTAAAATGCATGCTTATGTTCTAATTTTGCTTATCTATGTTCTAATTCTGTTTATCTATTAGGTTTTCTTCCCGGTCGTTTTACCAGATCACTACTATTTGCTGTGTGTCAACTTTGTGGAAGGAACATTTGATTTGATTGACAACAGATTTCTTCCACCAAATATTCCTTTTCACAATAAATATGGAAATTACCATAGATTAATGGTAAGACATCAAGTTTACATTTTTTTAATTATACTTTTGTTCTAACTTTTGCCTTATATGTTCTACAGTTTTTCTTTATGTTCTAAAGTTTACCTTATATGTTCTAAAGTTTATCCAATTTTTCAGTTGAATGCATTTGCTGATTTCGTTCACTCAATTGACTCAAATATAAAGAGTGACTTTGTATCCTCCTTCAAAACAAGAAACTTGAGTATGTCATGGAAGAGCAATAAGAACAAACATGATTGTGGAGTGTTCCTGTTGAAGCACATGGAAACATATGAAGGAGAATCTGTAAAACAATGGAATTCGGGACTAGAATTAGACAATGTAAGTTTAAAACATAAGATACATGTTTTAAATTAGTTTCGTTTATGGTTTGGTGTTATGTTTTAGTGTTGTGGTTTGGTTTGGTTATTGTTTAGATATATTATGGTTTATTATATTTATTTATACTTATATGCTAAATTATATTCATGTTCTAAATTATATGCTTATGTTCTAAAGTATTTCTGTTTATGTTCTAAAAGTTACTCTCTTTTTTTTTTTTTTGCAGTTTGACCAAATGTTTATGTTTATGTTCTAAAAGTTACTCTTTTTTTTTTTTTTTTTTTGCAGTTTGACCAAATGAAAAAATTAAGAGTGGAGTATTGTGGGAAGATAATAACAGCAGAAGTAAATGAAGAACGGAACAAAGTGATTAGGAGATCAAAAAAGTGGTCAAAGGAGAACAAAATGGATATATGATTGTTAAGATCTTAAGTTTATATTTGTAGAGAGATATTTGCAAAGAATATAACAGTAATTTTTTATGTTCTATGTATTTACCTGTTACAAGAAATATATTGTTGAATCATATTAAATGCTAAAATTTTAATATAAAATATATCATATAAACTTATATGCTAAATTATATTCATGTTCTAAATTATATGGGTATGTTCTAAAGTATTTTTGATTATGTTTTAATAATTATATGCTTATAAAGTTAGGATATTAGAATATATTATTATATATTAATTTTGACTTAAAACTTAAAGTGTAGAACATTAGAACATAAGAAAATTAAAAAAAAGTAACAAGAAATGACAACAGCCAAAGTAACAAGATTCCAAAGCATTCAATTGGTAACTTGATTCTAATTATATCTTATTATGTTGTACTTTTTTCTTATTACATGTCCAAATTATTGATTTTGCTAATCTTCTAATTATTTTTATCTATGTTCTAAAGTATTTGCTTATGTTCTAAACTGGCTGCTTCTAATCCATTACTTTTGCTTTATTTTTCCTTTTGAATACAATGCATACACTCTTTAGTGCATATCTAAGAAGGCATATGTAAATCAATGTTAAGAAACTTGAATAAATAAAAGTTGATTAAAGCAAGATTCAACTAAATGTTGTTTAATAAAGGTATCTAAAATGCTTGTACTATCATTACTCGTAGTTCAAATTGACTTAATAAAACAACTTATAATTACGAAAAGGGGGGAAGATGAAAAGACAGGAGATGTTATAAAACATTATAATCAACTTTAATTAACATAAAAATTGATAAGAAAAACACTAGTAGAGATACTCTGAATAATAATTGGACAAAAAAGAAATAAAAATATATTGTTTCTAAAAGTAAATAAATTGAGTTCTTATATTTTAAGAATTACATGAATAATATTTTACGTGCTAGTAAATGAGATATTGTTTCTAAATATATAACATCTCATGCAACTGGATTAATAGTATATTCACCAACCTGTAAAGAAAAAAAATAAAACAATATTAGAACATAAGCACATAATTTAGCATTAAAAAATGTTATAACATGCCATTTCTATTAGTTTAGAACACATGATATTATATAGAGTAAAAACTTTAGAACATTTAAAGAAACCTTTAAAACATATAAAGAAAACTTTAGAACATATAAAAAAATATTTTGAACATAAAGAGAAAAGTTAAAATATAAAGGAAAACTTTAGAACAAAATGAATAACTTTATATTCTAAACATTAGAGCATATTAAATTACACTAAAACAGAAAGAATAAACATTAGACATAGAGAAAACACTTTAGAACATAGAAAAGTAACTTTAGAACAAAGAGAAAACACTTTAGAACATATTGAATTACTTTAGAACATATATGAATAACTTTATGTTCTAAACTTGCTTAAAACATAATTACTTTAGAACAAAATAAATATAAGAAAATTAAAAATAAAGTTTACTTACAATATCACTTGACTTTTCCAGGGCAATTACGACTATCATGATAACCAAGCTCCCCACATGCTCTACATAATCTCTTCTTCTTTTGACTTTGTTCAATAGACTTTTCTCTGTCACTCTCATTCTTTTGTCACTATTTGGAACATGAACCTCATTTGGAACATGGACATCATTTGGAACATTTACCTGATTTGGAACATGAACCTGATTTGGAACATGGACATCATTTGGAACATTGACCTGATTTGGAACATGAACCCCCGTGCCTTTGTTCTTCGAAATTTTAGGAGGTTTGATTAAAACATTAGAAGGTAGACTAGCTCCAATAAATTTCAATGTCTTTAACTTTGCTCGAAAGATTTTGCTTCCATTTGTTTTCTTCTGTTCCAAATCTACCCTCATGGCTCGAAGTTTTTTGACAAGATCACTAAGATCATCTTCATTGTTTTGCACTAAACTCACACAAGCATGAATTTCAGACCACAAATCATTTAATAACATTTTCTTATCTACTGCATTAATACATTCCTCCAACACATTACCCTCTAAATCAAAAATGGGCTTCTTATAAGCCATTGTACACCATCTATTTAGAATGTAGGCCTTGGGAATTTTTTCTAACATCCTTGCCTTCCACACCCAAATCATATGCCTACAAGGCACACCATCACGTTCAAATTTTTTACAAAAACACTTGGTATCAAAGGTAGTTGGATCAAAAACAACATCAAAAGTCCTCCTTCTAGTTCCTTCCCTCAAATTGAAAATGTAAAGCTCATTGTCCTTCTTCATCTCCTCAACACCACAATTAAAACATCCAATTTCAAGCTCATATTGAAATTCATAGAAAATTGTTGTTGTAAACAATTCAGAAGCATCTTTCTCTAAAGGAATTGGAGTCTTACACTCCGGACGCTTATTCTTCGAATCATTATCCATTTTATTTTGAGTGTGCCTTTGAGCATCCAATGCACATTCAAACCTATAGAAAATAGAAATTAACTTTAAAACATAGAAGATAATTGTAGAACATAGAGTGAATTACATTAGACATATAAATATACATGACATGTTTATTATGATCTAAATATTATTAAAACATAAAGAGAAAAAGAAAACATAAAAGAGAATTATAAAATAAAGTAAAACTATAAAGCATAAAAAGAAAACTTTAGAGCATACAAGGAAAACTTTAGAACATAAGAGTAACTTTAGAACATATATAGACAATTACTTATTACCTCATGTAGAACTCAATCAAAGTGAGATGGGGATTTGTGAACATAGTGAAAAAATTATTTTCACTTTCTGATCTAGATGTGGTTCTCATAATGCCACCCAAAAATAAATCTCTGAAATACGCTGGAATCCACATATCACGTATGTTGTACATGTATGCCAACCATTCATGATCGTTCAAATGGAATTCTGAAATAAACTTTGTTCCACTTTTCTTCAAATTCTGCCGGCTCAATCTCTAAATGCCAAACACATGAACACACAGTTTTTTCAAGAAATCAGTGTCTTGGGCAATCGCCGACCTACTTTTTCAGGCACCTTTTTCATAATATGCCACATACAAAACCTATGTTCTGTAGTTTGAAAAACATTACGAACAACAACTTTCATTGCAGGGTCTTGATCGGTAATCAAACACACAGGCTCGTTATTTCCCATTGCTTTAAGAAAAGTTTTGAAAACCCATTCAAAAGATGATATATCCTCATGAGCTACAAAAGAAGCCGCAAAAGTAACACATTTTTTATGATGATCAACTCCAGTAAATGGACCAAAGATCATATTATATCTGTAACATACACAAATTATTTATGCAGAAAATAGAGGTAAACTTTAGAACATAGAGGTAAATTGTAGAACATAGAGGTATACTTTAGAACATTAAGGATAAACTTTAGAGGATAGTAATTTAATTAATTATTAAACGTGGCAGTAATATAGTTGTTTTAAAAATAATGAATTACTCTAAACATAAACACTAAACTAAAAATATACAATGTAGCTTTAAAAACTTATAAGTAAACTTTAGAACATATAGACATAATGTTTAGAACATGATGGATATTAGTTTAGAACACAAAGAATAAAGTGTAAAACACAAAAGCATAATGTTTAAAGCATAAAAGCATGATGGATATATTTTAAAGCATAAGGTAGAACATTAGCAATATATGTTTAGAACATAAGGCATACATAGTTTAGAACATAAAGAATATTTGTTTAGAACATCAAAACATGATGGATATTTGTTTAGGAACACAAGGCATGATATTTAGAATATAAGAACATATGTTTAAAAAATTAATATGTAAAAGTAAAATATTAATTACATTATGAAAGAAATTTATATTTAAAACATCACCTGTTTGTTTTGAATGTGGTATCAAAAAAACCATATCACCAAAAAGTGCATAATTTTTTCGACAGATTGGATCAGCCCATAAAGCTCTACAAAGTCTATCTTCTTCATCAACATCATAGGAAAAAAAAAAATGCACTCCAGAGCAATTTCTTATTTTGAAAATTATCCACAAACATTTGGGCATCTGATCCATCAATAAAAGCCTTCAAATCTCTATAAAAATTTTTGAAATCTTGTTTAGATGCACCAACATTATCATGTGATCCAGCTAATTCTTTCATCATAGTATAAGACCTCACAGGACCAACATTTACCTGTTAGAAAAAAAAAATATTACTAAGATTAAGAATTAACTTTAGAACATAGTAAATCAAAAAAAAAAAAACATTATTTAGTACATAAAAATAAATCACCTTTGAATTATCAATAATCAACTTTTTATGCATAATATGCATTTTTCTATTATCCTTCTGAAATTTTGCACAACTTGGAGTATATAAAAGGATGATTATGTTCTTCTTTGAAATGAGTTACAACATACTTTCCAGCATCATATCTCATACATATGTGAGCATTGCATCCTACACGAGTGACTAAACGTTTCCTAGTAATACGAACTTTTCCTTCTTCATAAACTGTTTGTTGAGCAATAGGTTTTCTTATTGCCCTAAAACCTTCCTTATTGCAAACTCCATATTGAAAAGCAATTATATCTTTGCTATTCTTCTTCCTTTTAGTAGTAGATTTCCTAGAAGTAAACCCAGCGGCATTTGCATATGCTTTATAAAAACTAAGACCCTCTTCAGGATCTTTAAATATCATCCCCAAACTGGGTTTTAACTCCTCGGGAACACTTGGAATCCATTCCTTAGTGGTACCACCAGGGCTAAATGATCCAACAACCTCTAGATAAACTTTATAACATAGAAACATATAAAATGATCAAAGATAAACTTAGAAACATCAAGGATAAACTTTAGAACATATAAAATCAGGGACATACTTATAACATAGTGAATTACTTTAAACATACATAATAAAATTTACAATAAAGTGAAAAAATTAAACTAGAAGGTTAACTTTAGAACATACAATGAAAGTAAACATTAGAACATAAAAAGTAAAATTTAAAAATTAGAAGGTAAACTTTAGAACATAGAATGAAAGTTTTAGAATATAAAGAGAGATATATAGAAAACTTTAGAACATACAGAGAAAACTTCAGAACATTACAGATAAATGTTAGAACATAGTAAAGAAACTTTAGAACATGTAAGTAAATTGAAATTAAAACATTGAAAACAATAAAATTACCTGAATGAGTAACACAGGAAGAAGGATAATTAGGTTGCACACCATCTAAATCCATCAATATGCATAAACCTATTTTGAAAAACACAATTGTAGCAAAAAAAGCAACCAGAAATTAAAATCCATTAAAAATCAAAAATCTGGAAAACAAAATAGGATAAAATCGAAAACGATGTTGAAAAACTCAAGCAAAGGAAAAAAACAGAAAAATCTGGAAATAAAAAATCTGGAAATAAGCAAAGGAAATAAAATCTAGAAATAAAATTTGGAAAAATCTGGAAATTGAAGAAGAAAAAGAAAACTAGAAAACGAAATTGATGAAATTAATGAAAAAACTCAAACAATGCTCTACCCGTTGAGCTAGTAGGCTAATGTATATAAAACACTTGAACTAGAGGAAAAACTACTAACAACTATATGAGATAATCACAAAAGTAATTTTTTTTTGTTTAATCATATCCTTTTGCACTTCTAAACACTATCTTTAGCATCGTTTATTGTAATTTGATGATCGATTACTTGCATTAAGGTGGGTTCATTATATTGGCTATATAATCAATCTATCATTAGTAGTCCTTTAAAGCAAAAGTTATCCCAAGTTAAGACTAGTGCTAATTAAACAAGCTTTGACAAACATGCTAAGATTGTCTACTTTAGAACACAATGAATTACTTTAGAACATAAAGAGTAAACTTAATATATGCTAAATAAAAGTTTAGAACATGCTAAAGATAGTTAAATAATAGTTTAGAATATAATGAATTACTTTAGAACACAAAGAGTAAACTTTATAACATAGATGGAAAATTTTAGAACATAGAAGGAAAACTTTAGAACATTTGAATTATTTTAGAACATAATGAATTACTTTATGTTCTAAATTTCCTTATAACATAGTGAATTATGTTCTAAATTTGATTTGCTTAGAACGTAGTAAATTACTTTATGTTCTAAATTTGTTTAGAACATAGCTATGTTCTAAATTTGCTTTTGCTTAGAACATAGTGAACTATATAAAATCTAGAAATAATAAAATTAAAAAAAAAAAGGAAAAGGAAAAACCACCACCACCCTTTTCCTCTTCCCAGCCACCAAATTCGCCGCCGTCGCTACCCTAGCCGCCACCTAACCTTTCTCTACCCAGCCAACCCTAACCTCGCCGGTGAACAGATCCCCTGTGCCGGGGACCCACCCAGCCTCCCCACCCCCCTTTTTCCTTTTTCCTTTTCCTTTTGAGAAAAAATTAACGCATCAAAATCGCAGCATACACAAATCGCAAAAAGCTGGAAAATTTTGAGAAAAATCGCAGCAAATAAAACAGCATCGAAATCGCAAAAGAAAACCGAACAAAAAAAATCAAAATAAGAACAAACAATTCGAACAATCAAACAATCGAATTGATAAATAATCGAGCAAAATAAATATACATCGAATAGAAAATCGCCAAAAACAAAATCGAATAGAAAATTCGCAAAAAATCGCAAAAATATTGACGAAAACATGAATTAATCAGTAAAAATCGAACATAAATCGCAGCAAAAATTGAGAAATAAACGCATCAAAATCGCAGCATACAAATCGCAAAAATCAGGGAAATATTTGAGAAAAAATCGCATAAAAACGCAACAAAATCACATCAAATTGCAGCAAAAAATCGCATCAAAATCGCATAAAATTCGTAGCAAAATCGCAGCAAAATATTCGCTAAACAATATTGAGAACAATTACATAGAAAATGCTCAAAATAATCGCATGAAATTAATCGCATCAAAATTGCATGAAAAATCATTAAATTTAAAACAAATCTGATTATAAAATTAATAAACTTACAATAATTAATCCAAAATCTGTGAAAATATCGTGATGAATTTGATGAACTTTCGCCAATCTGTTGAACTGAGGAGAGGGAGAAAGCTGAGAATTTTAGAGAGAGAAAGCTGAGAGTTGAGAAACATAAAATAACTAGATGAAGGAAGAGGAAAAAGAATTTGAATAAACTCCTTCAAATTACAAAAATGTCATTACTAATCATTCATTTTGAGCGGTCAGATCAAGCTAATTCCACGGTCCAGATTAGTTCTTATATATAATGGGTTCTTATATAGAGGAGGGTTCTTATATGAGCCTTCCTCTATATATATATATATATATATATATATATATATATATATATATATATATATATATATATATAT